GCGGTCCGGGGTGCCAGTGGCTGGGACTGCGGCCCGGGAGAGGGACAAGCCGCCCACCCCGTGGTCCCAGGTGCCAATGGCTGCACCTGTGCCTGTGGCCTGGGAAAGGGACAAACTGCCCACCCCGCAGTCCCAGGCGCCAGTGCTTGCTGCTGCGGCTAGCCCGGGTGAAGCCTGCCTGGGTCCTCAGTGCCTGCGGCCAGCCAGAGGGAGGGAAGCCCGGGTCCTGGGTGCCTGCGACCAGCCAGAGGGAATCCTGGATCCCGGGTGCGGGGCGAGGCAGAGGCGGTTAGGGGTGATCAGGCAGACAGGGGAGCAGTTAGGGGCAATCAAACAGGCAGGCAGAGGTGGTTAGGGGCGATCAGGCAGGCAGGTGAGCGGTTAGGAGCCAGCAGTCCCGGATTGCGAGAGGTAGTTTGCGAGAGGTAGTCGGACATCCCCCGAGGGGTCCCAGATTGGAGAGGGTACAGGCCAGGCTGAGGGACCCCTGCTCCCCCCACCCCCATGCACAAATTTCATGCCCCAGGCCTCTAGCCTATAATAATAAAAGCATAATATGCTAATTAGACCGAATGTCCTTCCGGACGAAGCCAGGGCTGCAGCTGCGGGATGGAGGCAGCCACGAGGGAGGGATCCAGGCAGCTGGCCTGCAGCTGCGAGGGACAGATCCAGGCAGCCAGCCCATGGCTGCGAGGGATGCAGCCAGGCAGCCGCTGCGGCTGTGAAGGCCTACTCTTGCACCAATCTCATGCATCGGGCCTCCAGTGATACATAACAACTATGTTGCCATTAAAAATTAATCAACCAGAGTGGCTCAGTTGGTTGAGCATCATCCTTTGCACCAAAGGGTTGCCTGTTCAATACCTGGTCAGGGCACACACTGGGTTACATGTTCAAGCACTTACGGAAGGCAACCAATAGATGTTTCTCACATCGATGTTTCTCTCTCTCTCTCTCTCTCTCTCTCTCCCCCTCAATCTAAGCACATCCTCGGGTGAGAACTAAAAAACAAAAATTAGCCTAACTGGTTTGGCTCAGTGGATAGAGCGTCAGCCTGCGGACTGAAAGGTCCCAGGTTCGATTCCGGTCAAGGGCATGTACCTTGGTTGCGGGCACATCCCCAGTAGAGGGTGTGAAGGAGGCAGCAGCTGATCAATGTTTCTCTCTCTCCTTCTCTCTCTCAATTCAATTTTTTAAAAATCTTTTTAAAAAAAGATAAACATTTGCATTGCCAAATAAAAATTAATCATGTAGACCTTAAAGTGCTATCAGGAAAACCTATTCAACAGAATGGAAAATCATAAGGCTATAAAAATTACAAATAATATTCCTTTATTTCTCTTCCTCCCTCCTCATTCCTTCCTTGTGGGGATGAAGAGAGCAAAAGGGGGATAAGAGGGAGAGAGGGACAGAGAAAGGGAGGGGAAGGTCTAAAAGCATCACCACAAAAATGGTGATTTTTTCCCCCCTTGGTGGTAAAATTTCAGAAGATTTTAACAGTCTCCTTTGTACTCTTCTATATATTTTTAATTATATGCAACCAACCTGAAAATGTTTTTCATAAAAACTGTGTAAAAAGGTATTGGATAAAAAAAATTCTTCAGGAGTAATGTTTAAAATTTTTAAATACAGGACATATAGTAGTCAAGACAATATTAGAAAAGAAAAAATTAAGTTGGAGGATATCCACTACTTTATTTCAAGACTTAATATAAAGGCAGAGTAATCAAGACAGCGAGGTAGTGATATAAAAATAGACAAAAAGATGAATGGAACAAAATAGAGAGTACACAAATAAACCCACACATATTTGCTCTATTGATTTTTAACAAAGGTACCAAGGAAAGTCAATGAGAAAAAGAGACTTTTCAGCAAGTGGTGCTCAAACCAAAAAAGTGAGGGGGGAAATAACTCCAACCCTTACTTAACACTCTACACAAAAGTAATTCGAAATAGATTACAGACCTAAACGTAGACGCTAAAAACTATAAACTGCAAAGCATCTTGAAGAAAAAGAAAAGAAAATCTCTGCACTCATGGAATAAACAAATATTTTCTACATAGGATATAGAAAGGAGGAACTAGCTGGAAAATTGGTAAAATGTACTTCATCGAACTTTTAAAACTTCTGCTCATTGAAAGATACTGTTAGGCAAATGAAAAGGCAAGCATCACGGCAGTGTATGACTGCCT